TGTGTGTGTAGTGTAGTGTGTGTGTATATATATATATATATATTATATATTATATATATATATATTCTTGTTTTTTGGTGAGAATGCTATCTAGCATGTTATAGGAATCACAGCTAAATGGTTATAAAACAGAGAAATCTAATATTCCTCTCTAAACTCTTATCCTTATCATTTACTATTATCATTTTTGGAAGGGGGGGGGAGCGATATATTCCTATTTCAGATGCATATATAATATACCCTCATAAATCACGTCACAGGAATGCCACTTACGCTCCTAGAATCCGCACAATCTCGCTCCGTTTCTCTTAATCACAGAGCAGCTCCGCACACTAGGAATGGGAAGGCCTGAAGGGGTCTTTGGAACGGAGGGAAAAAACCAAGGTGAAAGGGTAGGTCTTTGGACGTGGATGTTCCTCTTCCTGCTCGTTCTTGTGTGTGTGTGGGGGGGGGGGGGGGTCAGTGTGTGTGTGTGTGTGTCAGTGTGTGTGCGTGTGTGTGTGTGTGTGTCAGTGTGCGTGTGTGTGTCTATCAGTGTATGTGCGTGTGTGTGTCTATCAGTGTATGTGTGTGTGTGTGTGTGTCAGTGTGTGTGTGTGTGTGTGTGTGTGTATCAGTGTGAGTGTGTGTCTATCAGCGTGTATGTGTGTGTGTGTGTGTAACATTATTTGCTCAATTGTAGTTCCTTTTCCTTATTTCTCTTATACTTCTTGTACACACCTATAAACGTACCCCCCCCCCTTTTTTTTTTTTTTTTTTTTGCAAATGCATATATGGATGAGTATGCGATCTCTAGTAGTTCCTCCTTTAGTTTTTCTTAATTTATTTGCAGTATTATTTTCCGTACATAGACACATACGGAAGTAAGAAATTATCATATCTCAAGTATTGTTCTTAAGTTCCCATACCCCTATGGATAAACGCACACACATATGCACACACACACACACTGATACGCACACGCACGCACACACACACAAACACACACACACACACACACACACACACACACACGCACACACACACACACATACACATACACACACACCACACACATACACACGCACACACACATACACACCCACACACACACACACACATACTCACACACACACACACACACACACACACACACACACACACACACACACACACACATACATACACACACGCACACACAAATATACTAATCTAATAATAAGACATACATATATGGACATACCTAATGACAGTGCACACACAAAATCTGAATATATATAGACTATGTATCATTCTTCTTTTCGTGCCCAAAAGGTCACCCCATATTGTGTAACTGCCTTAATTACGTCTCGGTTATACATACACATATATATCTATGAGCAGGGCACAAACACAAATAAACACACTATGTATATCTAATCACAAGGCACAAACACAAATAAACATACTGTAAATATCTATCATAAGGGCACAAATACACAAATAAACATACTATATATATATATATATATATATATATATATATATATATATATATATATATATATATATATATACATATATATATAACAGGGTACAAACACACTCATACAAACATTCTGGATATAAACCTAAAATCAGGGAACATATACACACCTGAATATATATATATATATATATATATATATATATATATATATATATATATATATATACATATGTATGAACACAAACACGGTAACGCGTATACAAAAGGGAAAAGAAAAACAACCACAATAAAAAATGATAAAAAACGCGTATTTTTTGGAAATATTGACGAGTTCCTCTTCAGACGAATAATCGACCGAAATGGATCCCCTTCCGATTCGTTATACGTCTGAAGAGGATCTCGTGAAGATTCCGAAACGTTACGATATTGTTTCATTTCTAATTGTAACTGTTCTCCTTCACATATATAAGTACCATCTCTCTTCCTAAACCCCAGCAGGTCACACCACCTTGCGTAACAAACCTGCCTTAATCACGTGTCTCAGTTAAGTGACCTTGCCGGCTGCCATGACGAGCAAGGACAGCGCACGAAACCTCTTTAACATGACTGAGGTCCCGAATTCCCTCTTGGAAGGAAGGGATTTGAGAGGCGAAGAAAGGTGTAAGAGCAAATAACGATAAAGGTATGAGAAGGAATAAAAGAGAGGCGTGAGAAGGAAGTAAATATTTGGGAACGATAGTAAAGAAGGTGTAAGAAAAAAATAAAGAGAAGAATAATGATAGTAATAATCATAGGAACGGTACGAGAGCGAAGTAAAAGGTATGGGAAGGAAAAGAAGATATATGAAAAAATGAGAAAGATGATAAGAACAAGCAGAATATGTAAGAATGAAAATAATGATAATAATAATGAGAACCAAAAAAGGATAATATAAAAAAAGAGAGGTTTGAGAATTGAAAGGAGATATAAGAAAAAATTACAAGAGAAAGAAAGAAACAAAAGAAAAAAACAAAACAAAAAAAAAACAGCATAAAAAACGCCTGGAAATGAAAG